AAGTGCTCAACATCCTTAGCCATCAGGGAAATGCAAATCAAAACAACTCTGAGATACTATCTTAATCCTGTCAGAATGGCTAAATCAAAAACACCAAGGACAGTTTATGCTAGAGAGGATGTAGAGAAGGGAGAACACCCCTCCACTGCTGGGGGGGAGTGCCAACTCATACAGTCACTTTGGAAATCAGTATGCAGATTCATCAGGAAAATGGGAATCAGTCTACCACAAGATCCAGCAATTCCATTCCAAGGTATATACCCAAAAGATGCACATTCATACAACAAGGATGTTTGTTCCACTATGTTCATAGCAGCATTATTTGTAACAGCTAGATCCTGAAAGCAACCTAGATGCCTCTCAACTGAAGAATAGATAGAGATATTGTGTTACATTTACACAATTAAGTACTACTCATCAGAAAAAAACAATGGAATCTTGAAATTTGCAGGCAAATGGATGGAACTAGAAGAAGCCATCCTGAGTAAGGTAACCCAGTCACAAAAAAAGACAAACATGGTGTGTACTCACTCATATATGGATTTTAAACATAGAGCAAAGGGTTACCACACCACTAGAGAAGCTAGGAAGCAAGGAGGACCCTAAGTGAGACATACATGGTGCCCTGTAGAAGGGCACAAGGATAAGATCTCCTGAGCAACTTGGAAGCATGTGGGAGGGGAGAGGGAGCTAGGAGAAAAAGAAGGAGAGAAGAGGAGGGGAGAGGAGGATATGAGGGAGCAGGAAGGTTGAGTTGGGGGAAGAATAGAGGAGAGCAAGATAAGAGAAACCATAGTAGAGGCAGGTATTTTAAGTTTAAAGAGAAATCTGGCACTAGGGAAATGTCCAGAGATCTACAAGGATGACCCCAACTAACAATCTAAGCAATAATGGAGAGGCTACCTTAAATGCCCTTCCCCAATAATGAGATTGATGACTACCTTGTATGACATCCTAGAGCCTTCATCCAGTAGCTGAAGTAAGCAGAAGCAGAAGCCCACGGCTAAACACTGAACTCCTGGAATCCAGTTGCAGAGAGGGAGGAGTGATGATCCAGACCCCTGAGCGTGGTGTCACTGAGGAGGCCTCGGAAATTTGTGGGGCCTCTGGTAGTAAACCAGAATTTATCCCTAATACAGTAATTATTTGGGGAGCCCATTTCACATACAGGGATACTCTCTCAGCCTAGACATGTTGGGGAAGTCCTGTTATTTGCCTGTTATTTGTCAATAAAGTACTGTTGAGCCTATAGGAATCTAGATAGGTGGGGCTAGGAATCCAGGAGGATTCTGGGAAGGAGAAACACAGGAGAGTCGACATGTAACGCCGGGTAGGAGCCCGGAAACTTCTCCGGTAAGAGACATACTTAGATTAACAATTATGAGGTAACTACTTAAGTCAGAGCTAGCCAGTAAGAAATAAGCAAGGCCAACAGCTTCATAATTAATACAGCGTCCTGTGTGTTTATTTGGGGACTGCAATGAGGCAGAGCCTAGGCGGCTGGCAGGGGATAAACCAAAGCGGCTAGCAAAGAAAAAGCTTCTCTTAACATAATGGTGATCAGGAGTGGGATTGAATTTCCACGTAGAATGACAAAAGCTTTAAAGGAATTTTAGAAACAGAAGAACAGAGAGAAGCACAGATTTTGGTAGCAGCATTTTTCTCAGGTGTGCTCTGTTTTGCTAGCGACAAGCCGAGATTCACATAGCTCGATTACCGGAGTCTTCCTGACTCGGCATAAAAAGAAAAAAAAAAAAACCAGCAAGGTTGTTTTAAGAGACTCTGCTAACGATTGAAAAGTTGTACGTACAGCTGGAAGTGGCAGCTTTTGCTGGATGTCAGCATGGACTGAGGCGGTAAACTGGAATCACGCTTACGCCCGCCATCTTGACAAAAAAAAAAAAAACTGCAGTTTAAAACAGCCGCGGTTTTAACAGATAAGACACGTGGCCAGAAAAACATAAAGATTTACAGTAAAGTCAGACTTAAATGAAGAAAAACCTATAAAGGTTTACAGTGTGTTTAAAAATATACGTGAGATTGAGAGAGAAAATGAAACGGCAAAGTGGTAAATAAATACAAAAGCCAGCTGTGGTGGCGCACGCCGGTAGGATTTACTTCAGAGGCAGAGGCAGGCGGATTTCCAAAGAGAAACCCTGCCTCAGAGAAAAAGAAATAAAAGTAAAAGAAATAAAGTAATAATAGATAAATAAATAAGCCACGTAAATATGGAAAATACACAGAGAGTCCGGATACTGTACGCTATTATGTTTTTCAGTTTTTTCATTGCTAAGGAAGGAACAAATGCTAAAGTACACTTGATTATAAATGCTGCCGAATTAATTCAACTTATATCTTTTAAAAATGCCTTGACTTCAAAATTTAAGTATAAGGATATGTTACTCGGAAAAGGAGTTTTAGTTTATGTTTCCACAGAAAATGAAAAGCTGAGGATTCCTTCCAGGCTTCTGTGGTTTGACAAACCAAGACACCTGGAAGCAGTGGACAGGTGTTCCAACTATTGAGACAGCTAAGATGATGCAGCTTTACAGACCACGAAAATAAGGACTTATACAGGTTTCTGAGTTTTGTCATGATCCCCATGGTGTGAACAGCGCCCCCTTCCAGCAGGAAGCAGTTTGGAATGAGCGACGTTCCAATTCCCATCTTGTTTATAAATCTTTGTTTTCATTTAAATGGAATTGTTTATAATTGGCTAGTGATCACAGCCAATCTTTTTTAATGGTAAAAAGGGGAATTATGGTATGGGTATGGTTTTTCATTTATTGATACAAATTCAAGGTCAATTTTGTGATATGTATATTCCTCCTCTTGATTAAGTATTGTGCTTATACTGATCTTTTAAAATGTAATGCATAATTAAATACAGATTATAGATAGTTACTTATAATAGTCAGAATTTATAGTTAGGTAAGTTAGGTTTTCTAGATATACAGAAATATATTTGAGATAGATAAACAGTCTTCAAACCTTTCAAAGACCTTCAGAAAATGGCATTTAAAATGGTTTAGGGTTTTTCTTGACAATGAGAAATGTCTGCTCCTGGCAGCACCAATTACGTCTGAGAGGAAGATGGGCATCGAAGAAACTTGTTATGGAGTTTGCTTTCAACATGGCAAGATTAGCCATTTGGCAAGAAACTGCTCTTGCCTGTACTGCTTGACTGTTGTTGTATAATCTGGACATGCAGGACCCACAGGAAAGTGACTGCTGAACTCAGTCTTACAGGGTTCCTGCTTCATGGAAGAGTCTAGGAGACGTTCTGCAGGACACAGAGAAATGACTGACAGACTGGCAATGCAGATGGACAGTTTGAAATTTCCTGCTTTGCTGAGAAATCTTCTGGACACATTGTGGCCTATGGGCTGAAGATGGATGCCCCAACGTTACAGAGGAACTTCGGGTGACTGTCCAGGCAGTAAGATATCTCTGTCAATCCTAGTGTTTATATATTATCCTTCTGTGGTCTTTGATGGAGTTGAAGATAGATAGTTATAATTATAGTTTTCCTTAGTTATGATAAAAGATACATATAGAACTTTGGACTCACAAGGATGGGATGGATGATATTTTCTTTAAATCTTGCTAAAATATTGTAACTATGTTCTTATTTGATAACTGTTCTGTTATACACAATTTGACTATGTTAAAATTAAGACCTTTCTTTTGTTTAAACAGAAAAGAGGAGATGTTGGGAAAGTCCTGTTATTTGCCTGTTATTTGTCAATAAAGTACTGTTGAGCCTATAGGAATCTAGATAGGTGGGGCTAGGAATCCAGGAGGATTCTGGGAAGGAGAAACACAGAAGAGTCGACATGTAACGCCGGGTAGGAGCCCGGAAACTTCTCCGGTAAGAGACATACTTAGATTAACAATTATGAGGTAACTACTTAAGTCAGAGCTAGCCAGTAAGAAATAAGCAAGGCCAACAGCTTCATAATTAATACAGCATCCTGTGTGTTTATTTGGGGACTGCAATGAGGCAGAGCCTAGGCGGCTGGCAGGGGATAAACCAAAGCGGCTTCTCATAACATAGACACAAGTGGGAGGACCTAGGCCCTGCTCCAAATGATATGACAGACTTTGAAGATGCCCCATGGAAGGTCTCACCCTCCCTGGGGAGCAGAATGCAGTTGTGATAGGAGGTCAGTGGGGGACAGAGGAGGAGGGAAGGGAGAGAGAACTGGGATTGATTTGTAAAAACAAGGTTGTTTCTGATTTAAATTTAAAAAATAGAAAAAAATCTTATCAGCTCTCTTTTACTCAGGCACTACAGAATTATTGGCCTGTTAACTTCAAGTCCTCTTGGAACTTAGGGAACCCTAAGGAAGAAGTAGACTAAGAATTGTAGGAGCCAGAGTGGTTAAAGACATGAGAACACAGCCCACAAAATCAACTAAGCAGGGCTCAAAGGGGTTCACAGAGACTGAAGCAGCAATCATGGAGATCATGGAGCCTGAATGGGTCTGCACTAGGACCTCTACAAATATGTTATGGTTATTATCTTAGTGTTTTATGGGATTCCCAACAGTGGGAGTGGGAACTGTCTCTGACTCCTTCAATTGCTCTTGGAACCATTTTCTTCCTACCACATTACCTTGCACAACCTTGATAAAGGGTTTATACACAATCTTATTGTATCTTGTTATGTTGTGTTCAGTTGATATTCCCTGGAGGCCTCATCCTTTCTGAAAGAAATCAGAGGAGTGAATCTCAGGGAGAAGGATAAGGAGGGGAAACTATGGTCTGGATGAACTGTATGAGAACAATAAAAAAAATAGACTCTGGTGTTAATGTTGACTGAGTCTTTTCTTTCAGGACTCATGGTAGAGGGCCACTTATACATTAGAACTTCAAGAAAATATGCCTTAGAGACATTTGAGCCAGAGGTATGATCTGACTGGTAATGTCTATAATCTTTCTGAGATTCCCCCAAGCAACCAACTGAAGCTTTCCACAATTCCTATCCCAGAGGTGGAGCTGAACACTGAGAAGTTTCTCTGTGACTGAAGACCAGTTTTCCCTAGAGTCTGGTTGTATTTTCCTGAATCTAAATAAAAGAAGAATGTCTTCACTGAAGAAGCTTCCATGTTCTATGAGATGTGGTACAGCACATTTGGCCAGCATCACAGCCAAGGTGAGTCAACAAGGCTCACAATTGGGTTTTCCTCTATTTTAGGATCCTTTACTCACTCTCCTTCCTAGCAAAGGCTCAAGGAAAATAAACACCAAACAATAGATATCAGAAAGAGACCTGGGTATTGGGTTTAAGAAGAGCCCAGGAATTCTAGCAGAGTTCTAAAACAATTGTCTATACAATTGATTCACAATAGTGATGCTTACAGGGACAACTCAAGTCAAGACTATAATGAAATATTTTTTAAAATGTAAACATTTGTGCTTGGGAGAACACCAGCATCATCCCCAGACTTCTTCTCCAGTGATTATTTTCATTCATTCATCACAGTGACTGAATATCTAGTGTGTGTATAAATGTGTGTGTGTGTATAAGTATGTTTGTGTGTGTGTGTGTGTGCATATATAGTCAAAGTTCCAAAGGGACACAGAGCTGGTGCAGGAGTGAGAACTTGGCTTTCACCGTTGTGAGGTGAGTACGGATGTGTGACTTATTCAGGACTGACTGGAGGACAAGGAAGAGTTGATCTACACTCTGCATCTCAACACCACCTGGAACAAAATCCCCATTTCCCAGAGAGACTCAGTTTACCTTCTCTTCAGATTAAATGAAGCCACACACAGAATGCAAATTGATGATCTTTTTTCAAAGTCTAAAAATTCAAAAGTTAATTGTTCTTTTTAAAAAAAAAACATATGTTCATAAAAGTATCTAGAACATTGTTGACCAAAATCTGACACTGTAATTTTGCCAAGTTACCACAGGGAATTAACTATCATGTTTACCACACACTGTGGAATGAAGCTTTATTTAAAGATGTCTAGTTTTGGTAGCCAGTTAAACTGATTGAGATCAGAAACTGCTGTGGTAAGTTGGTGTGCGGCAATTTTATAGGCATGAGTTAGTAATTGGAAGGAAAACTGCTTAGGAGTTGGTTCAGAAAAAAATGAAATGAAGAAATCCTAAGGAAGGAAATTCAGAGGAATAAAATAAGAACAAGGTAAAGAGATGGGAAAGTAAAACGGTTGGTTGGTTGGTTGGTTGGTTGGTTGGTTGGTTGGTTGGTTGGTTGGTTGGATTTGAGGAACAACAGGTTTATAATCAACAAATGCCAGAGTTCAAATGACAAATGATCTGATTTATGCCTCTATTTTTGACAAAGAAGACTGGGGTCAAGAGAGAGAAAATGAGCCTGAGATCTAATGCAACCTGTAAACTTGGACAGCTTACTTGGAGGGAAAGGAGGGCATTTGATGCTAAACAGCACTGGGACTGGGTACTTCTTTCAATACCATAGGCATTTGATTTTGTAAATAATGGTACCACTGTTGAATTCATTTTTCACTCAAAGCCAACTAAACTACTAATATGCCTGTACATACCCAGTGTGATACAATAATACAGCAGAGTGCCTGAAACCCAAAAACCTTTCTCTAATTCTCTCCATTTCAAAAATTGTTAAAATTACTTTCACATACTTAAACCTATAAGTTGTTGTTACTTCAACAAATGGAAGATGTAAGTCACTGAAGTTATCTCCCATATTCTAATTCCAGAGGCTTCTATACAAATGTCAACACTGTCCAGATAAAGCATTGATGGACAGATAGACAAAATTATAATGAAACTCAATTTACCAGGAGAGTGTCAATTTAAAGGTGGTGACTTATGAGTATTTGTTGGTTGAGACAACTTGAGAACTCTATAAAGAAAGTTCAGGTAAAGAGAGGCAGGGGAATGAGACAAGTGCAAGAGAAGGGCCAGTGGTTTAACTAAAACAGCAGTGAGAAAAATAAGATTATGAACAATTTCTTTGGGTTGAATGATGGGAAAGAGAACACAGATGGAAGGTACAATGGGATAAGAAAATGAGATGTCCAACAAACCTAAAATTGGGGAGATTTTATGAAGGTACACTATAACATCATATATGTCTGCTGGTAACACCATTGGGCTTCTTAAAATAGGACACAGATAAAATATTTGAGATTCTAGTTGACATGATAACCATCTATCATTCAGAAAATGAACCAAACATTTCTTGGAGATTCCTTCTCTGTGCAATCAACTACAAGACACCATATCATGTCCATCCCATGGGTGCAATGCATGATTTATTGAAATAGAGTTTCAATCCCCTCTTCTTCAAAACCTACCATAAGTTCTGCTATCTGATGCCTGGGGAAATACAACTTATCTTTTACTTATTTTCCTTCCTGTGTATAAGACTCGGTTATCATTTCATTATTCATTCATTCAAATAAATATTGACTGTGACTTTACTCTGTACCAGGAATCACACTAGTTAAGAGTTACCTGTTAATGAACAAGACCTTATGGTTGACACATCCATGAATTTGTAATCTAGTAAGAGTCAGAAAATCAGAGAGGAAAGATGTACTCATAACATGTAAAAATCAATTCAGTGGCAAATAAGGAAAAACAATGTGTTCTGTTAGAATAATGAAGGACGGGACTGTAGATCAAGGCACCATTGAGGCAAAAGTCATCCAAATGGCTCTTTGAGAAAATGATGTTTACTACCTAAAGGAATGAGGAACCCAGCCATGTGGAAATCAAAGGAAGAAGACAGGCAGAACACAAAATCCCCAAGATAAATAGCACAGACTTTTTTAGAAACTGAAATATGATCTCCTTGCCTGAAGAATTCTGAACAGGACAAAGCCTGCCATGGAATGACTGGAGAGTTGGGAATGTACTTCATCATAGAACTACCCAAGCCATATTCTACCAGACTGCATAGGAAAACCACTGAAAGATGTTTAAAGGAGGAGTCACATGAACAAGTCACATCCCTGAACATCAACTACCATCCACAGTGAAGGATGAGCAGTCCCCTAAAGTCTACATTTCACAATAGCTATGGGGATGGGATCAAATGAGTCACTACTAATGAAAGCCTTGAGAATTGCAACATGTTAGTATCACAGTAATCACAGAAGCATGCTTATAGTACTTTCTACTGAAGACCACTCTTCAATCACTTTGTGTCATCAGGATGGGCCTCAGTAGACAACATTGGCTTTGGAATCAGATGCACAAGGATTCAAACTCCAATACAATGATACATGGGCCACCCATCAGAGGTAGACCACTTACACCTGTCCACCCTTAGGTTTCTTTTCCGTATAATGGGTGAGGAAATGCTGCTTTTTCCAAAGTTTCTTGATTCTTTGTATAAGTAAGTTCAGCCTAAAATGTTAAGTATGAATCATGGAATTTTTTGCATATGTCAAAAATGTGTCATGGAAAATCCATGGGCTACATAAATAGATGAGTTTTAGAACAATTTAGTTTATAAAGTGAAAAAGTGTGGGTAAAACACAGCAGTTTCTCATGCAATCAGAGTCTTTTTAGTGTACCTTTATCTGTGTAAAAATAAACTTTCTTTGTTCCACCAGCCTGAATTAATTTTCTTTATTTCTTACCAAACAGGAATTCTCACCCTCTTCTAGACATGGAGATATATCATGTCCTAATATTTGTACAAAAAGTAGATACTGGTGAGATCAGTATACTGTTTCATAGTGTTTGGCGTCTCAGTCCACCAGCTCAGATGGGGTGTCAACATTAGGGATGAGATTCTTTTCAATAAGCTGTGTTGAATTCATAACTCCAATTGCCCAACCCTATGTTTGAAACAATGCAGATCATCAAATGTACCTATGGTTTTCTAGAAGATATGAGAAATGTATAGGCAAGTGTAGGAAGAGATTTAAGTACCCATAGCACTGACCACGCCAATTTGGGTGTGGTCACAGGTACACAGAATGTACAGAAGATAAAAGAGCTAGGGAGAGGAGACATTTTCTTGCTTTGAGTTTCGGTTGTGTTTCGGTTGTGTCCCGGAGAGCAGTGTGTGGATCTTTGGTTCTCAGCTTTCTTGGCTTCTCACATAAGTGATTTCTCCCTCAATAAAATATCATAGGACATCGCTATTTTGTGTAGTTTAATATTTCCACATTATCTGGTGTCAGGAGTGAGGTACAAACCCACACCTCAATTCATCCCTATTTTGTGTAGCTTAATATTTTCACATTAGGCAAGACATTATGATGCTAAGCAGAATATAATATATAGAGAGTCTGCATTGATGTTGTTATCAGTATCATTCCTTTATACCTAGAAGTAAATGGTGAACTAACAAACTTGAGTCAAAGACTTCTGACTCAACACTACCTCAGTGTTTCCTCTCTTCTAGATATGTTCAGTGTCTATCCAGATTGAGGACATCAAATCCCATGGGAACCATGCTTCCTTACCAGTCCTTCATCAACATCTCATTCTTCCAACCACAGTCTTTCCTGATGACTGGCATCCCAGGCCTAGAGGCCGTCCATGGCTGGATCTCCATCCCCTTCTTCTCCATGTATACTGTGGCACTCACCGGAAATTGCCTCATCTTCCTGGCTGTGAAGAGGACCCATAGCCTACACCAGCCCATGTACTACTTCCTGTCAATGCTGGCCCTAAGTGATGTGGGCCTCTGCTTGTCCACACTGCCTTCCACTCTGGCTGTGCTCTGGTTTGACTATCGCTTCATTGGCTTCCATGCCTGTCTGATCCAGATGTTCTTTCTGCATTTCTTCTCTGTGGTAGAATCTTCAGTACTCTTGGCCATGTCATTTGACCGCTTTGTGGCCATCTCCAACCCATTGCGCTATGCATCTGTCCTCACTAATAATGTCATCATCAGGATTGGTGTGGCCATTACAACCCGAGCCACTCTGTCTCTCTTACCATTGCCTTTCTTGTTGAAGAGACTGAACTATTGCCCTGGCAAGGTCATCCTGTCTCACTCATTCTGTTTCCATGCTGATGTCATGAAGCTGGCCTGTGCTGACATTACTGTCAACATCCTATACGGACTCTATGTAGTGTTGTCCACAGTGGGTGTAGACTCCTTGCTTATTGTTGTGTCCTATTCCTTGATTCTTCACACAGTGATGGGGCTAGCCTCTCCCAGGGAGCGTGTCCGGACTCTCAACACATGTGTTTCCCATATCTTGGCTGTCCTAGTCTTCTACATTCCAGTCATAGGTGTGTCCATGATCCATCGTTTTGGTAAGCATCTGCCCCACATTGTTCATGCCCTTGTTGCATATGTGTACCTTGTGGTGCCTCCTGTGCTCAACCCCATCATCTACAGTGTCAAGTCTAAGCCCATCAGGGGAGCAATGTTCAGAGTATTAAATAGTCTAGCCATAGATAACACTAGAAATCTCTAGTTGTGCTGAGATTGTGATACAAATCTGCTGATTGTTTACTTTGTAAAGATGAAATTGTGAGGATTAAAGACTGATATAAATAAATGAAGCACTTTTTATTCTATTCCCCCTTCCCAGGGAGATCCTTGCACCACCCCCCCTTAAGCCTTCCTTGTTAATTAGCCTCTCTGGGCTCTAACTGTGCAGCCAGTATCCACTCATAGGTGAGTACATACTATGCTGGTCTCTCTGGGACTGGGTTAGCTTACTGAGGATGAATTTTCTAGTTTCGTCCACTAGCCCTCTAATTTTATGATGTCATTACAGTAGCTACTAATATAAATTATAGATTGGAAATGTATTAGATACATGTGCCAGATTGGAGTTAACTGGAAACTTTTCTGAAAGTTACAAACTCTGTCCTTAAAAGAAAAAAAATTAATTGGTCAGTGTAATGAACCCATTCTTCAAGCATTATATATGAATGACTCCAAAGGGACTGCAAATATAAAGCAGACATAAAATGGGATTGAATGGAGGCATACACATGTGATTCCAGCACTTGAAAGGTACAGGTACTCATCAGTCCAAGGTCATCCTTAGCTACACAGTGGGTTTGAGGCCACCTTGGGTTATGAGAGATTCTGTTTCAAAACAAATAACCAAAATGAAAACACACACATGCACAAACACACACACACACACACACACACACACACACACACACACCACATCGTATATCCAAGCAAAGCATGCATGTAATAACACCAATTTTTTAATTCTTTTGAGTAACAGATTAAAGATTCTTTATTGCATTTTAATTCTCTTATATTTTCAGGATGTCTGTGATTTTTGTTTTCAGTGATTACATTTCACTTTGCAAGTAAGGAAATCATGTCTTTCTAATCCTTTTCATTGCCTTTTTCTCAACTGTAAAGTCAGGGCACTTCTGGGCAATGGATGATTATGTACCCTCCTCCTCTCAGTTCAAAGTGGCAAACCTTGCATTGGATACATTTCGTGCTACTTCCTTTGGCCATCCCTCACCTTGGCCTAGTCAATTTTATCATATACACAATTCTTATATTCTGACATATAGTCCAAGAAATTGGAAGTGCAAATGGGTCTCTGTGCTGTTAGCCTTTGCCAGGAAATCCTACCCTGCCCACACTACCCTGCTTGCCTCTCATATTCACCAACTACACACAGGATCTGACTGTGGCCTTTCTGTAGGTAGTGATCCCAATCTTTGATCAGTTTATTCCAATTCCTTTCCTATAGTGGCCAGCTAACTCCTGAAAATACTCTTGAAGGATTCTTAGGTAGGCCTCAAGGCTATACCCATGGTATGTACAGTTAGAAGGAATGCAGTCCTTATTTCCCTTGTTGCAACACATGTTAAATCCCTGGGTGTCCTGCTGGGCAGTAGTGGCACCATGCCTTTAATTCCAGTGCTTGGGAGGCAGAAGCAGGCAGATCTCTGTGAGTTCAATGCTAGCCTAGTCTACAGAGCGAGTTCCAGGACAGGCTCCAAAGCTACAGAGAAATCCTGTCTCAAAAAAAAAAAAAGAAAAAATAAGATAAGAATGCCCTGGGTGTCTGTGGCGTTTGCTTATGTATGTGCTCCTCATTTTCTATAGACCCACCTTTCCCCCAGTCTTAATTCCTGGTTAGCCACATGGGCTAATGACTCTACTCTGTCTCATGTCTCTTGCTCTTGACTCTACTCTGTGGTGGCTATCCCTTCTCTTTTTATACCACAAGCTGATGGATATTCTCAACTGCTTCTAAAGCATCCCTCAGACACCCAGGGAATCTGCACCTAATCACACTGTTTCTCAAATAAACCCATTCGGGAACAGTCCTGTTTGCATTATACAGGCAAAGTGGTAATCGGGCTAGGATGCAGAGCAATGTCTACTGGCATGATTAAAGCCATGGGTTCTATTGATAGGAAGTTCCTCAAAGCAGCACTGGGTAAGTGAAAGTAAAGAACCAAAAGCCTCCTCCAAAAACAGTGTGAGATGCTGGAGACTACCAACTCAGTACCCCGCAAGTCTGTCTTCTTCATAATAGTTCTTCTGCATAACATAGGATTAGACATGAAAACTTCATTTTTTTTCTCCTTTTGAGCTTCCGTGATTATATGTAAGTCACTGGTTGCCAGGAAATACCACTTTCCCCATTGGTGCAATCAGGTCACAAATAAATAGGTAAAAATGTCTTCATGGCTGTGACAATTGTCATAACAAAGTGTATTGCTTCATAATGTAGGCAAATGTACTTTTTTTCTGGCCTGGGACCCAGAAGAATAACATTGATTTCTTTAGAAATTGTTCTGAAGAAGAAAGCCAGCTATAACTTTTTAGAAATCCAAAGTCATTGTGAATTCTCATGAGGAAATCAGAATTTTGATTTTATTTTCCTTTTTTCATGCCTTTGATGAACATTTTGGATATGTTTCTCCATCTCTGGATGCTATGAACCATCATCGGTAAAATGAATTGAGATTTGGAAGTAGTGATAAAACGGGAGGTAATAACCTTCAAAACACAAGTATTGGTCTTAATAATCATACAGAGAAAAACCAAAATGGAATCTGATGTTTGAAAATGGAGATTTCTGGTTTTATTCCATTCCCATGGAAATTCCACAGCCTGTTTCATCTTTGAAAGCTCTGGGCTGTATTTTGATTAAGAAAGATTTGTTTTCTTAATACTGTCTTCCAAGATGCTGATAATAAATTATGAATTAGAGAACGTTGAATGGAGGGAGGTGTCATCACAGATTCCTAGTGATCTGAAGTGTGTGTGGTTATGAGAAAAAGACGTAGGATGCGTTGCCGGATCTCCTTTGTCTTCACTCCATAGACAATGGGGTTGAGCACAGGAGGGATGAGCAGATAGATGTTAGCCATAATGACAGGAAGGAGAGAGTCACGCCTCTTGCTAAAACGGTGCACCATTGACAGTCCAATGAACGGCACATAGAATATAAAAACAGCGCACACATGAGAGACACAAGTGCCAAATGCTTTTGCCTGGGCTTCACGTGTCAAGCCCAACACCGTCTTAAGGATGAGCAAATATGAGAAAGAGATGAGAAGTGAGTCCAAGCCAATGGCAGAGATGATGACGATAAGACCGTAGATGACATTAACACGGATGTCAGCACAGGCCAGCTTCATGACATCTTGGTGTAGGCAGTAGGAATGGGAAAGGATATTGGAACGACAGAAAGGCAGCCTTTTGATGAAGACAGGTAAGGGTGCCATTAGTGCAGCACCCCTGACCACAGCAGCCATGCCAATCTTGGCAACACGAGGTAATGTAAGCACAGTAGAATGACGTAGAGGATGGCAGATAGCCACATAGCGATCAAAGGCCATGGCCAGCAGCACTGTGGACTCCATGCCAGATAAGGAATGGATAGCAAACATCTGTACCAGACAAGCATCAAATTGGATGGTAGTGGAATTGAACCAGAAAATGGCCATCATTTTCGGCATAGATGAGGTGGAAATGAGGATGTCTAGGCCAGAAAGCATGCAAAGAAAGATATACATGGGCTCATGGAGGCTGTGCTCTGTCCTCACAATGTAGATGATTGTCAAGTTACCTAGCACAGCAATAAGGTAGAGGGAGCACAATGGGAAAGCCAACCAGAACTGAGCCTCTTCTAATCCTGGGAGGCCTATTAGGATGAAATACGTGGCACTGGACTCACTGCTGTTGGTGTCCACCATACTGAAGGATCTCAGATGTAGTCAGTACCAGGCAGGTTGAAGCTGAAATACAAAGACAAGTCACTGTCAGGTCCTCTAAAATCTCAATGCTATATAGTGTCCTAGTGTCCTATTATCTAACAAAACTCTAATTCCATTGCCTATCCAAACACTGGACCTATACTAAATTTCATCTAACCATACATCAAGTACAAGATTAGTTCTACTTGCTAATCCTACCTATATATTAGGCGAACTAATAAGACAACATTCTGATATTATTAATCATTTAGTTCTCAAATGGAAAAAAATTACATCCTCTGTGGTATCTTATACTCCCAATGCTTAATATTGATAATATTGTTTATATAAGCCATTATTAGACCTTGGAAAATGAAACTATGCATGGAGAAATGCTAATTGAAAATTTTTAATACTTACTGTAAATATGACCAATTTCATTAGTCCATTCTAAGATTATTGTCATGTAAATGCATCAATGGTAATAGTAACATAAACTGACATTGAAACATAACTTGATCACTAATCTAATGATCTAATTTTAACCTTAATCCTAACTTTAGCATTAGCCGATACTTAGAAGCCATCTCAATATTAATTTAATGGTGCCTATGTTATTGTGATAAAACCTATTCTAATAAAAACATGACAATAATTCTATCCTGAACTATAAGTCTGAATTTCCATTTTCCTAGATGTCTAATCCACAGTTTACACCGTTTATATCAGGAAAAGAGTTAACAGATTGAGTGGATTCGTTGCTGTCCCACCTAGATCCCACCTAACTAGTTGTTAAGCAATGTAGCCTTTCAGCCACCACACCAGCACTGTGACATAACTTCAGAATCCCTCGTGGATGCTGATGCTGGTCTCCAACTGAGACTGTGGCCTTGCTCAGCCTCCTTCACTGCTCTGTCCTGCACTGTTTCCTTGGGCTTCTCTTGGGAGCTCTCCTTAAGGGCAGACATCTCCCTTTAGCCATGCTTTCACTGCCAGTTTTCTCATTCCAATCAACTGTATTCATCTGAAGCCTGAAACTATTAAATAGAAATTCAAAAATAAACAGTTTGCATGCTTTAAATTCTATGGCACTCTGAGTAGGTGGATAAAATGTCGTGGCATCTGACTCTGCCCTACCTGGGATACAAATCATCCTTTTACTTAGTCTAGCCACACTGATAGCCCCCTTCCCCCGAAAGTCACCCAGTAGCCTCTTTAGTTAGGAGATCTACTGTCAAACTATTACAGTGCTTGTGTTCAAAGAATCCTTATTTTATTTAATAGTACCCCCAAAGCACAATATTTTTTCAATTAATTTCAATCCAGGGTTAGTTGAATGTAGAATCTACAGATAATGGGATCTGATTCAATGTATGTGTATATACAGGTGTGTGGCTGTACGAATTCATATGCACACATGACCTGTGAGAACTGGGATGGCAGTTTTTATAATAAAGTTTGATTCAACCTGTTAGGAAGAAAAGAGTTAAAGCAGAATCGTAGTTAATCTATGTCAAAGAGGCAAAGTCATCAATCCGTCTCACTCTTCAGAACTGTATTTGTAGTGATACAGCTGCCTGCTTCTTAAAACTGCTCTGCCTCATACCTGATGCTCCTCAGTTTCTGTTATCCCTGCTCCAACTTCACCCTCCTCTGCTTGACTCATAGCAATACCTTTAAATAACAATGCTATTCAAAATTTTTTCTTTGGTTTTTTTTGTCTATACTTTCTTCCCAAACTATCCAAATCTCTTCAATAAAAAATTTACTTTTCTATCTTATATGCTCTTGACTCCCAAATTTATGTTTATGTGTATATACCTCACATACAGTGAGTACAAAATTTATAAGCTGTTTCTTTTTTCCTTGGTGTTGATCACTAGTCACACAAGCTGGATCTCATGATGCCAGATGCTGTGCTCTGGTGTATGCTTCTCTATGTGCGCAACATCAGTACTGACCACATGATATCTGGCCATTGCCTGTAATAAAAAGCCCAGGAAAGGGCTGGGATGTGGTTCAGGTGACACAGTGCTTATCTAGCTTGCAAAAAACTCAGGATCTGATCCCACGTGTATTTTTCATGCCCTCACTTGTTTTGTCTCTCTTATGTTACTTTTCCTAAGCTCCTTTCCTTGGATAATTAACCATTTCCTGTTCTGCATGCCCACATAACTTTGTTGGGGGTCCCCTTTCATTCAATGACTCTCCTAGTTATAAGAACCACTTATTTTTCCCCAAATTGCAAATCCCTTAATGCCAAGGACACTACCCTATTTATTAATTAGCATCAAATTATGCTCACTCATAATGAAATGAATATTACTAATATCAGAATCCCTTGGTGAATGCGCTTTCAGCCTGGACTCTTGGAGGAGGGCCTAGGCCCTGCTCTGGATGAAATGACAGACTATAGACACTGCCATGGAGGGCCTCACCCTCCCTGGGGAAAGGAGTGGGGATTGGGGGAGGTGGGAGGGGAATTGGTGGGAGGGCATGGGAGGAGGGGAGGGAGAGGGAGCTGGGATTGACATGTGAAGCAACCTTGTTTCTAATTTAAATTTAAAAATTAAAAAAGACAAAAAAATCTCTTGGTGAGCATCTGATGAAGATCACACAGGCAAGGGATAGGTAGGACTGCCAGATATCTGAACTTCAGAGACAGAAGGAAGGGAGGAAGGGAGGGAGGGAGGGAGGGAGGGAGGGAGGGAGGGAGGGAGGGAGGGAGGGAGGGAGGGAGGGAGGGAGGGAGGGAGGGAGGGAGGGAGGGATGGAGGGACAGAGGGAGGGAGGGACGGAGGGACGGAGGGACGGAGGGACAGAGGGAGGGACGGAGGGAGGAGGAAGAGAAAGAAGCAAGAAGCATAGGGCTGCTGCAATGTCTTGCCTCTGACAAGTACAAGGAGGCTATGCAGCAAAATATGTGCCTGAGGCAGACATCACCTAGGGATTCCTCACCTGGAGGCATTAACCAAAAGAGACTCCAGGACTCCAGAGGGCCAGCTGGCTATCCATGCCACCCAGAAATTCACATCAACAGACATGGGAATACTGGTGGATTACCAAGATCAAAAGATACTGCATTAGGAAGCAAATTGGGGGAAAGCCATGGGTCCACATGGGAAGTTTCATGGCCTCTGTGAACAGACTGAAGCTGTGAGTAGAATCCTTTGGGATAGAAACATGAGTCTTGGCCTCAACTCTTGGGGCAATAAATTGTTAAATTATTATTACTATTACTATTATCTTAAATAATAATAACTTCATAGTGCTACTGTGAATTTGTGTGAGATCATCTATGTTAAAGGACATTGTAAAACTATCAAAGAGCACAAAGCATTGAAAATATATAAAATAAAATTTTCTATTTTTCAGTTTGCCTTAGTCTTCACTTATTTACTACTTCTATGCATATACCCATATACATACATATAAATATATTCAATTTCTCACAGTGGCAAGAATGGACCCTGGTATAGAGGTGGCAGAAATCAAAAGAGGGAAGAGTCAGTCAGCCTGGAAACACAAAATAAAATGTAGACCTCAGAATCTGTGAAGATAAGAAATGAATGAATGGAAAGGGGACCAGACAGCCCAGGTACACCACCCTTCAGTCTGCACAACCCTAATATCTCCTACAGCTCTCCAAAGGATAACAGAAGGGACAACTTCAGGAGGCCCTGTGACCTGGTACCGGTTCACAGTCACAGCCACTCACACTCACTCAAGAGACGTGTGGGAGCTTCCAAGCTAGTTGGAATGAAATAATTCTGTTTTGGAAAAGAAACAAAACCAAGGAAAAATAAACAAAGGAAGTCTCTGTGTGTGTCTGTCTCTGTGTGTGTGTGTGTGTCTCTCTGTCTCTCTGTCTCTCCCTGTCTCTGTCTCTCTCTGTGTCTCACACACACACACACACTATCCTAATCCCAAAGGAGTAACCCTGTTCTTCATTTTTCCTAAAATGTCAAATTAGCTGGGCGGTGGTGGTGTACGCCTTTAATCCCAGCACTCAGGAGGCAGAAGCAGGAGGATCTCTGTGAGTTCAAGACCAGCCTGGTCTACCGAGCAAGTTCCAGGACAGGTTCCAAAACAATACAGAGAAATCCTGTCTCCAAAAAACAAAAAACAAAAAAAACACACACACACAAAAAAATGTCAAATTAACTTAGTGAGTCCTGGGCTGTTTATCTGGGAACTATTCAAGCATCTTGGTCTTTTCTTGGGAGTCAGAGAGCAGCAGACCCCACCTGTACAGAGTCTAAATCCACTGTGAGGTCTCAGTCTTTCTCTTGGCCTTTAAAGTATTCCCTCCAATGCCAGCTTAGCCCTTCTCACCAGCCCAGCTCACATTCTTCACCAGAACTGCTACCATTTTTACAGACCCATGGGAAAGCTGGCAGAAAGGAAAACAAGGGTCATGTGCCCTCTCTTCTGACCCGAGAACAATGCAGCCATCTCCCAGGCCTGGCTTGCCATTTTGTGATATTAATAGAGTTTACTGAATGCCTACAAAATACCAGACATATAAATATCATCCCTCAGCTAAGAACAACTCTGCAGGATAGATGGCATTCGCTGAACCCTTTCCTCATGACAGATGAGAAAACCAGGGGTTCCAAGAGACTAAATGACAATTCTGGGCCTTATCAATCAATGAGCACCGTAGAAACAGCCAGAACCACCTCCTATCCTCTTACCTTAGGCTGCCTTTGATTGTGCTACACCTTCTAGAAGCTGACGAAATCTGGCCAGAGGTAAAAACCTTGAAAGATAAGGGTGTGACAAACAGGACACTTGCCTATGTATAATCTTAGACGAGAAAATATGGAATGATAAAGAGAACTCTCTTAGACGAGGCTATTGGTTATTCTTCTCTTCTAGGCTAAATCTCCTGACTGTGCCATGGTCAGGCCCTACAGTAGAGAAGTAGAGAAGAGTTCTGCTCACTACTGATTATCTCCTCGTCTAATCACAGCTTTCGCCAACTTGTCAGATAGGTAGTGACACCATTTGTCAGGCAACAATATGAAGGGTAAAGCTCTGAGTGACCAATCTCTCTGCTTCTAATATACCAAACCTATCCTGTCCTTCTCACAGTCTCCTTAATAATGGATTTTTTGTAGGGACAATTTCTATGTTACATCTAAGGGGTGCAAAATGAAGGGTCTGAGTCTAGGAGCCTTTTTAGGGACCAGGACACCCAAGCAGCTCTAAGTACTTAAGGAAATGTTTAAAAAAAAAAAGGATGGGGTGAGAGGTAATGAGGATGGAGATTCGTGGTCTTGAGGAAGTTGATCTTTTCTTAGCACTTCATGAGTAGTATCCCCAAAACCACACTTACCCAAATTGTCAATATCCATTGTGCCCTAAAACTTGCTTAGATTCGGCGAAGCAAGTGAACCTTGAAAATTGTTGGTAGTTCTTGACTTTAATGGGCAAGATAATACTTAAAGGATGGAATCTTCAAGAAATAGAGTGAAGTTTTATCCTATCCCACTCACTCAAGTCAGTCTGGTCCCCAAAAGTCACCCCAAAAAGAGTACCTGGGACTTAGGTCCCTACCCCTCCACTTCCTGCGTAGGGCCAGGTCAATGCTCTATAAACTGGAATGCTAGAAGTAGCTATTGATAGCCTGTGACTGCTGCCTGCAAGTGTGGAGCACCAAAGATGCCTGATGGAGAACTTTGTTCAATGCATTCATTTTTATACGACAGTTACGGTCTGACTGGCTCCTGCCTGCTAAGCTCCGAACTAAGCACCAGAGTAAACAAGGCACAGTTCAAGACTGACTGGTGTGCAGAAAGTTGGATACAAGTGTGCAGTTATCACAGTGTATTATGATGAGTGTGAGGGCGAGACTGAGCCTCTCAGAAGCAAAGGTTACAGTAGCTCCCCAAAGTCTTTGGGCTCAGAGGGTCCGTTACAAGGCTGTTACCAAGTTAGGGTTTGCAGGACCACTTGCTGTTAATCAGGGGATTCAATAAAGTGGGGAGATAAAAACACTCTGACAGGTAGTGTCAAACTGGATATCAAACAGTATGTTGACAGACAATATCACGGCTTTCTTGTAGCCCATACAATGAGCTGGTAAAGACACAGATAATAAAATTGCAAATAAAGATGAGTGCACTAAAGATAAGTCGGAGTGGTAAGATATTGATCCAGTCCACACAGGAGTCAGAGGAGAAGACATCTTAAAAGATTACAAACAAGCTTAGCAGCATGTAGTGAGGATAGGCCAGCTGTTCTAAGGCCTAGGGGAACAGCATTTCAGGCTTTGGAGACTACAAGAGGAAAAGTTCTTAAGGCAAGAATGAACCTATCAGTTCATGAGCAGAAATCGCAAAGTGAGAGCAAAACTGAGAACAAGGGAGACTTAGAAATTTAGACAGAGAAAAGGGTCAGGTTATGTAGCACTATTTTGACTATTCCTAAGAGTTTACAATAAACAACAGACGTGTGTGTGTGTGTGTGTGTGTGTGTGTCTGTGTGTGTCTGTGTGTGTGTCTGTGTGTCTGTGTGTGTGTCTGTGTGTGTCTGTGTGTGTGTGTCTGTGTGTGTGTCTGTGTGTGTCTGTGTGTCTGTGTGTGTCTGTGTGTGTGTCTGTGTGTCTGTGTGTGTGTCTGTGTGTCTGTGTGTCTGTGTGTGTGTCTGTGTGTCTGTGTGTCTGTGTGTGTCTGTGTGTGTGTCTGTGTGTCTGTGTGTGTCTGTGTGTCTGTGTGTCTGTGTGTGTGTCTGTGTGTGTGTCTGTGTCTGTGTGTGTGTGTGTGTGTGTCTGTGTTTTCAGTGCATTCTGGCATAGGCAAAGGCCCAAAGTAAGAGAGAATCAACCTCATTTAGAAAACTACAATGGTTTTGGTGCGTGTAAAGGCAAAGAATACAAGGCAAGCGAGTTGGCCATGTAGACATTAAGCCACTTTTAAATGAGCTAAAGACTGGACCTCCATCCTAGGACTGAGTTGAGATCTGAGTCAAGATCAGAACTGCAGCCTTGACTAGAGGACCTGACTCCAGGCAGAGCACCCCACAAAACCACAGCTGTAGTCTGGCCTCCCATCACAGACGGGGCTTCATCCTCAGTAATAACCCAGGCCATACACTGTCCGTACACTGAAACCCAGTCTAATCCCAATCTACCCGAGCCCAATCCCAACCCAATCTGTTCTCTCTCCATTCACACCGGCTCATATCCCCTGCCAACCTCTGCTCAGTCCCCATTAAACCAGGCACTGGAAAACAGAAACCTGACAAGTGCTTTTAGGCAGTGTTTAGCATCCTCACTCCTTTCCGCACGTTATCCTAAGACTGCCTGTCCTTTGGGTGAGAGGCTTCCTCCCCACCATCACTACCCAGTACATCTGCTTCTTCACAGCCAGGTTTCTCATCTTTTCAAGGGGTGTCATGGAAGGTCCTCAGCTACGAGCAACCCCAACCCACTGCATGCCTTCTAGACTCACCTCAGCTGTCCTGAAAGTCGCTGTGTCCCCTTTTCCCCAGCCCTCTTTCTGAGAGAGATCTGGCAGGCTGCAGAGAAGCCCAGCCCCTTCAGTCTCCACCTCCTTCTGTGCTCTGCTCAGGGCTGGTTATTCTTAAACTTCCCACCTCCCTCTTTCTGTTCCTCCTTGTTAGGAGTGCAGGCTGTGTCCACAGGGTCCATCGGGGACATGCCCACCAGCCTGCTGTGGTTCTGGTTCCCCTCTAAGCTTCCACGCCCTAAAAGGATGAGCTCCAACTGTGGGGAAGCGGCGTTGGGGGAGGCATTGGGTAGATGGTCTCTAGAGTCCTCTGAAAATGGACTGTTGCCTGCTGGGATATTTAGACCAATCCAAATGTGAAGTCAGAGTAATAAAAGGCCAAAAGAAACTCAGCTTTGCACCTGTGGTGTGTGTGAGGTTCTTTCACAGTTCCTTCACAAAGCTATCAAACAGCCAGGGGAAAGACAAAGCTCGTTTTGAGAGACTCCATAATTGAAAGCCTATCTCCACCCTGACAGATTCTTTACCCTGATAGGTCCTCACTGAGCCTGGAACACAGAGGTCCCATCCTCTAAAGCCCTAAGGACCTCATTCTCCCTCAGCTCTGGCTCCTATGGCTAGCTAATACAAAACGTGGGCCCCTGGGGATAATGCCTCTGCCTTCTACTCCACTGTGTACTGAAATCCAGGCTAAGAAAGAGAACATGATGTAGTTTCTTTAGCCCTCTCTATACTCCTGAACAGCCACATAAGATCAGTGTCATCTGGTTTCTGTTAAAAGTAAAAGGCGAAGAGAACATTTACAAAAATAGAGAATAACTTCCAAATGAAACTAAGTAATCTAACTTTTGAAATAAGTTAAAACTACATTTGTACTTGGGAAAATGTGGTTTTTAATTGATTTTCACTTTGTTTCACTATTCAATATTACAATTAGAAGGTTTATGTTAAAACATGGGACACATTAATCCAAGCTATGCATAAATAGACAGTGCCAAGCCTGATCATTATAACTCACATCAAAACTACTAAATACAAAAGCTTCTGGTACCTGCAGACCTTTCGGCCTGATACTCTGATACCACCCTATAGCCACTGCAGCTGCTTCCATTAGCCCATAGTCATGGCAGACACAAAGACTTTTCTTACACAAACACAAAAAAAAATTATTCCATCTAAGATGGGGTAGCATGAAGCAATAACCATGTGAAGCAGTGCACATAAAATAATGGTTTGTGCAACACTGGACTTCAGGCAATGGAAAGCAGAACAGCATGAGACAAAATAAACAACTGGAATAACATCTGCAGCTTCTTCCTTGTTGCCTCCTTTCCACGCTGCAGCATGGGAAAGGGAATCCAGGCAGAGTCGAGAGGCTTCCCTCAGTTGTGGAGTTGGACTGAGGGTTCAGGATGACCAGGTCAGTCAAAAGGCAAAGGCAAAGTATTGGAGATGGACATATCTGCATAAAAACAACACTCGAGGGTAGAAATTCTTCCTCAATAATTCAGCAGCTAATTATATGAGCAAGCTAACTGAAACAATGGGGAGAACCATTTAACAAATTAGAAATAATGCTGTGCAGTGATCACGCAGGACAAAGATTGGTGGTTTCCTGATAATCAGACTGGAGGGTTTCACAGTTCACCTCTTTATTGAGGATGCAGAAGCCCACACCTCAATATGAACAAGTTCTGACTGGCAAACCTTCAAAGTATAACCCAAATAAATGATCAAACTAGTTCCAAGTTGCTGCGATACCTCCTGGGAACAAAGCATAAGAATATCTCTGGCAAGGAAACGTCATGGGAGAGGAGGCAGAAAGGCTGGAAAGAGCCGGAGGATGAGGAGTGCTAGGAACAGCTGTCTTCCAGCTGTTACAGTAGAGAACACACGGCATCTATGGCTAGTCACAAAAGCTTTGCACAAATAAAAAATTAGTAAATTTTAAAAAGCAATGGAAGCTGGAGGAGAAGTTGGGAGGAAGAAGGCTATGGGATAAGGGATAAGAAAGGAAATAAGAGAGGTAATGGGCATGAGCATTGTCACGATATGTGACAAACGGAAAAAGATGTATCGTGTCTACAACAATCGTAAGAAAGCTAAAGTGGTTTTACTCCTACTAGACAACACACATTTCACAGCAAAACAAATTTCCATAAGCACAGGAAAGTGATAAAAATACAGAAAAGAAGGAAATCTAGAGTTGTGGTTAAATGTTTCAATAATCCACTCAAGAATTGATTAATGTGGCCCTGCCAGAGCCAGGGTCTGTGTTGATTGATATCCATGGTGCCTGTTACAATTGAAGGTCATGGGGATGCCTGGGGTCTGGGCCACCACCTGGGGCCATGTTAGTGTCTGAGAGCAACGCTGCAGCTGGGGCAATGCCAATCTGAGTGGTCTGCACTGCCACCCAGGGCCATAGTGACATCTGGGCCCAGGCTGCTGCTAAGGACCATGTCTGGGTTCGTGACCCTGCCACAGCTGGGATCTGCATTGATGTCTGGGATCTGCATTGATGTCCATGGTCCCTGTTGTGCAGATGCCTGGGGTCTGGTTTGATACCTGAGGCCATGTTGGTGACTGAAGGTCATGCTGCCACAAGGGCCAAACAGATATGAGTGCCCTGCATTGCCACCTGGGGCCATGGTAATGTCCCGGCCAAAGCTGCCACTGATGGCCATGTCTGGGTCCATGACCCTATTATAGCCTGGATCTGTTTTGATGTCCATGACTCATGTTACCATTGTAGACCTTATGGATGCCTATGGCCTAGGCCACCACCTGGGGCCATGTTAGTGTCCTAGGGCTACCCTGCAGCCAGGGCATTGAAGATCTGAGTGGCCTGTGCTGCCACCTGGGCCCTGGTAACATCTAGGCCCAAGCTGTCACTGATGGCCATGTCTGGGTCCATGGTCCTATTGAAGCTGGGGTCTGTGCTGATGTTCATTGCCTGTGTTACCACAGAGGCCCATGAGAACCATGTGTTGGACCATGTGTTAAGTACCAAGGGTCATGTTGAGCTAGCTCTACCTCTCATTGGACTGGGATCTCCCCAGCCCTGTCACCAAAGAGCTGACCCCACACTGGCCTTGGGTTTCCAGATCCCATGACCCCAGCATGGGAGAGCGGCCCTGTTCCTTATAGGAGAGTGGCTCCTCCATCCCCACCGCTTACCCCTGCACTTGGGAAGGCTGTCTCTAACCCTCACCTGAGGAGGATGGTCCTGGCCTCCTGAAGTGACCAACTCAGCTACCATCCAGGCACACATCTAGAGCTTTGAGTTGGCTCTCCCCAACATCTACCCCATCTATGACCTGCTGGAGCGCATGAAGGCACTGGTCCTGTGGAACCATAGCTTCAGAATCTCCATGACTGAGAGCAATAGCAGGATATCCAAAAGGAGATTTGGTGAGGATCCAGTATTGATGGTGTACCAGAAGTCATAGGTCTTGAACACATTACACAATGAACATTTGCAAGTAAAGCTGTTTGAACAAAAGGGTATACTGCATGATACCCAGTTTCTTCCAGAGCCGCTAAGAGAAATAAAGATGGGATAAAGAGGCAGGAAAGACAGAGGAGAAAAGTGTTTCTTTTGTTTGCATCTTTGTTTGTTTTTTTTGAGGGGTTGTTTACGTCTCTTTAATTATTATTCAAATGGGCATTTTTGTAGTTTTATTAACTTTTTTCTATTTTATTCTTTTTTTAATTTTTTATTTTTAAATTTAAATTTAAATTAGAAACAAGTTTGCTTCACATGTCAATCCCAGGTCCCTCTCCCTTTCTCTCCCCTCCTCCCATGCCCTCCCACCAACCCCCCCCAATACTCCCTCATTTCCCCAGGGAGGATGAGGCCCTCCATGGGGGTGTCCATAGTCTGTCATTTCATCCAGGGCAGGGCCTAGACCCTCCCCCAAGAGTCCAGGGTGAGAGAGCATCTCTCATTGTTGGATGGGCACCCAAAATCCATTTGTATGCCAGGGATAAATACTGATCTACTACCCAAGGCCCCATAGATTACCTAGGCCTCCTCACTGGCACCCACATTCAGGGAGTTTCATTAACTTTTATTTCATTTTTACTATTGCTTTTTAAAGTTTTCCTTTGGAGAATGATACAGGGTGAAAAGCAGATATTGAGGGACTGGTGTGCATGATGTGAAATTCCTAAAGAATCAATTTTAAAATATGTTATAAAAGAATTGATTTAGACACACTTAATAATGAAAGACAGAGTCTTTTAAGGAGGTATAGGAAGTTCATAATGTTCTTTTGTGCCTACACAAATGACTCCATTTTAGAAAGCGAAAAAATAAAGCTGTCTTAATTCACAGACAACATGATCATCCATGAACATATTTTGGTAAACTTTGTCAAGAAAATCTAGAAAAAAAAGTGTGTGTGGTAACTTTCAAGATTAAAGATTAATAAAGAGAAATCATAGTTCTCTGTACTAACACTGTATAAGTTTTCATGTTAATTTAATAGACAATAACATCAAAACTATAAAATAGCATCAAAACTATAAAATATTTAGAGATATTTAGAGATAACTCTGGTAAAATACTTTAAGTACTGAATGGAATTGATGATCTTCTCTGAAAGAAATAAAAAGACTTAAGAAGAAGAAAAGATTCTGTTCATTGGAAGACTCAGTCATAGTAATTCCCTCAGATTGGATCAATAGACTTAATGAAGTCCCAAACAAAATTTCACAAGAATTTTGTTCTACGTGGTAATTATGTTGTTATAAATTTTAAATTGCTGATAAAATTTACATAGAAATATAAACAGATCAACTTTGAAGTATTCAAAATATTTAATTTTCTATAGATTTCTTACAATGCTACACTAATCAAAACAATGTGATCTTGCTTAAACATAGACAAATATGGCATGAAACAGAATTGTCTAGAGTTAGACATATACATAAGCATATAATCGATTTTTTTACAAAGGCAGCATAATTGGACACAGTAACGCAATGTTACTAGGTTAGTAGGATAGTTACATATATTATGCATAGGTAAGCCAGTGTTACTAAGATGAGCAGATGTCATTGTGGGAATAAGTTAACTTTGATCTCTACTTCATACTGCACACTCAAACAACTCAAAATGGATCATAGAGCTGAATGTAAAACCTAAAACCATAAAGCTGCTACAGAAAAGTGTTTTATGTGACTTCTGGTTTGCAAATGAGTTTTTAGATGCAACCACAAGTATA